GGAAATTTGCTCGGAGATTAATTAACGAGCAGCTCTCCCTGAGCTTGTTTCCTCTTCACCTCTGTTTGTCCTGCAAGTGTAGCTTTGTCCCTCTGGCACCAGTGAGTGCCCTTGCCATTGATCCCAGTAAAAGGTGAATTCCCAGTAAAATTCTGGGAATTTGGACAGTTTAGACAGCTGACATCCCAAATCCAGCTGTGAGGTGCCAGATACCTTGAAGGTTGGACTGGTGACCTTTAAAGTTCCCTTCCAGCATTGTTGTTTCCCCTCCATTCCATGATCTTGGAAGTCTTGGGAGAAATAATTCCTTTGAGTGTTTTATTTCCCTGGATCTAAACCCTACAAAAGATAACGATTTAGGTAAAAAAGCAGCAATATCTGGGTGAATATTTGAAGTATTTGTTCATATCTAAGAGGCCCAAATATTCACATCTCAGAGAAGAAGCCCAGGTTAGGTGTCAACCCCAAAATCCAGCTTTGCCCTGAAATGAATCCTGTGGGAGAATCAATATCCAGCTCCAACTTTTATGGCTCCTTCCAGTCCTTTCCTAGAGAGCTGGAATTCCCAAATGGACCAGTTCAGGAGAAGGAGTGACTGATCTGAACCTTGGAGAACCTTTTTGATGGGGCATTGGTGACATTCCTGTCCCCTCACAAATTTTCCTCACCAGCAGCACCTTTCCCTTTCCCAGCTGAGTCCCAGAGGGACAGACCATGGCTTAACACAGAGGTGGCTTCTAAATAGTGAAATATTAAAAAATTATTAATTATTTCATGCTTTTTGGGAGTAGAAGTCAGAGGTTTCCTGGGAGGAGTTCCTCTGAGCTGTGGGGGAATCAAAATCCAGCTCCAGCTTTTATGGCTCATTCCAGTCCTTTCCTAGAGAGCTGGAATTCCCAAAAGGACCAGTTCAGGAGGAGGAGTGACTGATCTGTACCTCAGAGTCCCCCTTTGGTGAGGCATGGACACCTTGGTGACGTTCCTGTCCCCTCACAAATTTTCCTCACCAGCAGCACCTTTCCCTTGCTCTGCCCCAGAGGGACAGACCATGGCTTAACACAGAGGTGGCATTTAAATAGTGAAATATTAAAAAATTATTAGTTTTTGCATGCTTTTTGGGTGTGGAAGTCAGAGGTTTCCTGGCAGAAATCCCGCTGAAATAAGTCCTTGATGTTGGATCTGTTGTTGACACCTTCCTCCTTGAAAAAATGATCACATCTCTGACTCTGCTTGGCTTCACCCAAAGCTTTTTCCTTGAAATACCAGATACTCTCCTTTTTGAAGGTGTTTCAGTAGCGATTTTGAGTCCTTGTGGCATCATCTCCTCGTGGTGCTAAAAGTTGTGGGAACAGAAGACACTGCTGGAATGGCAGTGATGGATAAAATCTCATTATCCAGGTTTTTACCTGCTGGGAACTCAAGCACTGAAAGGGAAAGTGGAGCCTGAGATCCCCAGGAAAGTCTCCAGCAGAGAGAAGAGTTAACCCTGACTCTCTAAAGGCTTAATCCAGCACCTTCCCTGTGACAAATTCCCTTTTCCCAGTGTTTTTTGGAGTTACCTCTTCTGGAGAGGAAGGGAGGAAGAAATTCGAATTTAAGGAGCTGCGAACTGTTCCTTAAATTCAGCAGGAGTTTCTTGCTGCATCTCTCTCCCAGACAGGAGGGATTTTCCCCCAGCAGAGCCATAAAATGTCTCTGTGAGCCTTCCCTTTCCCCCAGAGAGGAAATTAGGGAATGCTGTGCAGATCCTGAGCGTTTTGGAGGTTCCTTCCTCGGGTTCAGGGTGCAGAGTTTGTCTCCTAGGGCTGATTTTGCTCCCGGTGCTGTTAAACCACTGGGATGTGTCAGTGGTCACTCTGCTCACACCTGAGTGGCTCCAAGGGATTTTGTTTAACATTCCAGAGGTCTGGCAATCCGCATCCATCCATCCATCCACAACCTGCCAGGAGGCACCTGCAGAAACCCTGGGTGACAAGGCCTGGGCTGAGTTTATTTTCCTCAGCTTTGCTGGAACGAAATGCTCCTTTTCCTCAGAGGGAGACAACTCAGCTGTGGTTTCAGCCAGGGAGGAGAAAATCCCGAACAAAGCTGGCACTTTTATCCAGCAGCATGGCAAATTCACCTTCAAATTCGGGAAGGCTCCAAGATGATAGGGGCCAGTGGAGCAGGGCTTTGGCCAGGGTTGTTGTGGTGGCCAGGTGGGCTCATGCTCAGCCTGGTGGAAATGGGTGAGGAAGGAGGAGAAGGGGAAGAAGAATTGCGTGGCTGGTCTGTTTTTCCAGCATTCCAGATTTTTTTCCCCCCTTTTCCCAGAATTTCAGCAGGCAGAGATCCCTCCCTTTTTCAGAGTGTGGTGGGTCCACAGCCACAGGAAGGCTCAGCCTTTGCCCAAAGAGCTGCCCAACCCCACAGCCAGCTCCAAATGGCATTTTCTACTCAAAGCCCTTTAGTAATTTAGGCTCTGATTATTTTTTTGCTGCTCCAGCTCATTTGTTGGCTGCGTGCTGCCAAGGATGATGGAGTAAAACTATCTGGAGTGAGACTTAAAAGAATGGGATCTCCTCTTCTGGATGTCCAGAGAAGAAAGGAAAATTGATGGGCTCTGAAAGGCTTCCTTTGAGCTCCAGAAGCGAAAACACACAGGAGAAATTCAGATTCACCCCCCCAAAAAAACCCCACCTGAGTCTCCTCCCTGCCAGGGGGGCCCAGAAGGATTTCAGTGCTGCAAACACAGAGCAGATTGTGCCCATCTCCCTCCTCCCCTCATCTCCACTGACAAATATAATTACAGCTTCACTTAAAGTGCTGCAAGTGAATTGTGGAGAGGAGAAAAATGGTGTGTGCATCTGCCTGCAGCAGCAAGGAGCTGACTCCTGCTTTTCTCTGATGGCTCCATCCATCTCCAGCACTTCCAGGGTGGCAGAGCTGGCTCTGCTAAAGAGAGATGATTCCTGCCCCAAGTGCATCTCCAGGAGGATAAAAACTTCTCAAAATGTAGGATTTTGGGCTTAAAAAAAAATGATGTTTTTTTCATGCATGGTACAGGTGGGGTTTCCTGCTTTCCTGTGTCCATGTAATTATCCCTAGACCTGACCCTGAGCTGAAGTCCTGCCACCATCCAGGGTCACTTGGAGGACAAACAACTCTCCCCAAGTGCCTCCTCAGAGGCACTCTCCTCCTTATTATTCCTGGGATAATCTGGAATTAGAGGTTCTGTAGATAAGCTCCTCACCCCCTCGCTGATAATTTAATTTTCTTGGTGGGACAGAGCTCAGTGAGCAGAGAGGGGCTGGGAGAAGTCTCAAGGAAGGGGAATTCTCATCATTCCCACCCACCCAGGTTGGATTGTCACCCTCGTTTCCCTCTTTATTCTCCTTTCACACCCCAGGCCAGTTCATCATTTCCAGCAGCATTTGCCAGGCTGGGAATTTCTCGGTGTTCCTCGGTTCAAAAAATTGCTTCATGAATTTTGTTGTGACCTCAGGAGTTGCTGAGAGGGGTTAAATTCCTGGAGTTAATTCCTGGAATGGGTTGGGTTGGAAGGGACCTCAAGGATCACCTCATTCCAACCATGGCAGGGACAGCTCCCACCATCCCAGGCTGCTCCAAGCCCTGTCCAACCTGGCCTTGGACATTTCCAGGGATCCAGGGGCACCCACAGCTTCTCTGGGCATCAAAGATCATCTATTTCCATATTCTGTGATTTCCACACTTCACTGTACATTTCCCTCCTGTTTGTTCACCTCTGCTTTAACTTATTTTGCACCAAAAAAAAAAAAAAAAAAGGGGTTTTTTATCCCCTCACTTTGCTTTTTTTTTCTCTTTTCAGGCTGGATCTGGGGGTGTGTTTAATTTTAGGCCCATTATTTTTAGTGTTTAATCCCAAATTCCTCTCCCAAAGCAGGGCTGTGGCTGCACAGAAGTCACATTTTCTTAAATCAGCATCACTCCAAATGGAATTTGATTGTCAGCAGCTCCTTGGGAATGCACAGATCCCTCCTGTGCAGGGCTGTGCTGGATCTGGGAAGGGTCTGGAGCAGCTGGGAAAGGGGCTCAGCCTGGAGAAAATGATCCCATGATTCAACAAAGAGATGGAGAACTCCGTGAGGGAAAAAATAATGTTACCACGTAAAGAAGCAAATACAAAACATCCGTGAATAAGTTTAGGCTGGAAATTCAAACCCAAACTTTACCTTCCTTGTTACAGAAGCTTTTTGAAGGAGCCAGCAAGAGTCAAAATGTTTTATATGGCACAGGAATCTCTCCTTGAGGCCGTGGGACACAGGGATTGTGGGGATCCAGGAGATCTCTTCACAATCCCATTGTTTAATTCAATGTTTCAGGGCAGCCTTGTCTCAAACTGATCACCCCTGGCAGGATGTCAGTCCAAAGTGCTGCTTGAACCAGGCCTTGAACTGGGATATTTGGGATGCACTTCCTCAGATTAGGGTGGAATGTGGGATTGCAGAGGGTTCCTCTTGTGGCTTCAGGGCTCAGCCCTGGGGTAAAATACCAGGGGTGAAGTGATGGATCTGGAGCTGCTCTGGTGGCTGGGATAAAATCCCAGAAGGTTTTTCAAGGAGGTCTCAGTGGGAGGAAATGATCCATGAGCACCTCATGGGTGTTTAAATCCTTTTTACTGCCCAAGAGCTGTGGTGAAGGAACAAAACCAAAGCCTCTGAAGGGATGGGGACATTGAGGTGACCAAAAAGGACCCTCCCAGCTGTGGGGGCCTTGGCTCCCAAGCAGCTTCTCCCTCCCTCCCTCCCAGCAGAGCGAGATGAACACTCCTGGACTCTGCAGCCACAGGAATTCTCAGCCCAGAGCACTCTCTTCCCAGGAAAATGTCTCCTGCAGGCTGATGAAACCCCTCAGACCCACCTGGGAGTTCAATCCATTGCTCCTCCATCCGCTCCTGGGTCAGAGGTGAACACCCAGAGCACACAGGAGGCTCTGGATGGGATGGAGAACATCCCAAATGTAACTCTTCTCTCTTCCAGCCACGTCCCCAGGCCAGGACAGCCATGCCAGCCTGGAGCAGCTCCCTGCATCCGAGCAGATCCTGCAGAGCCTGAGTGAGCTGGCCAGGTCCTTCCAGGAGATGGCTGATCGCTGCCTGCTGGTGCTGCACCTGGAAGTCAGGTAAAAACCTGGGATTTGGGCGTGGAGGGGGATCTTGGGAAGCTGCAAGTGGAGATCATGTCCAGAGGAGACAAAGAAACTTGTCCATGACAGCAACAAAGGTGAGTCCAGGAATGCCAGATCACCAAATGTGGCATGGAGGCAGGGCACCAAAAGTGGGATTTCCTAGGGAGGTTTGTATCTTAACTAAAAGAGAATTCAGGAAGAAATTCCTTCATGTGGGGGTGGTGAGGTCCTACCAGAGCAGCTGGGGCTGCCCCTGGATCCCTGGAATGTCCAAGGCCAGGCTGGACAGGGCTTGGAGCACCCAGGGACAGCAGAAATTGTCCCTGCCGATGGCAGGGGTGGCACTGGATGATCTTGCAGGTTCCTCCAACCCAACCCACTCTGGGATTCCATGATTATGGTTCAGAGACCGGGAAAAAATGTGATTTTCAGGGAGCTTTGTCCTTCCAAAACAACACAATGGTGTTTTCACAGTCTAACAGGTGTCTCCACAGGTTGGTTTTTTTTTTGTGGGGGACTGCAAATAGGAGCTTCTCCTCCTACTTCTTCAAACAGTGACAGGAACTGGGAACCAGCTGGATTTTTTTTCAAGGGCTGGGTGATTTCATGAAGTCTCTGCCTTCACGTGCAAAGATCAAAAGCAGCAAATCCCTTTCTTCAGGCTGCCAGCTACCCACTCCAGGGCTGGGAAGATGTTTTTCCCAGGACAACTGTTCAGGCCAGGTGTATTTTATTGCTTCCCTTTGCTCTGAGGCACCAAAAAGAAGGGGGATGTCAGAAATTTGATGGATCATCAGTTTGTTCTTTGGTGACACATCCCAAGCTATGTCGTGTCCCCCTGTGCTCTGCTGGAGTCAGCATGGAGCTCTGGCAAAAAAAAATCCACATTAATTCTTGTCAGCACTCCTTCATCCTGCCATCCATCACCTGCTGGGCTTGGAAGGATTTGAGGAAAAGGTGGTGGAAGCATGGAAATGGAGCAGTTTTCCAGCTGGGCTGAAGGAACCGGGACTCTTGGGATGGGTTTTTGGCCTCTGTGGCTTTTTGTCACACTTGGGTTAAGCAAAAATCCCTAAAGTGGACTTCAGGGATTACTTCTTCAGGGATTACTTCTTCAGGGATTAATTACTTCTGCTGTAATTTAGAGCAGAGAAGCTCCAGTGCTTCCAACAGGAGCCGAGTTTGGAGCTGTGGATTCACCAAACTGTGTCCAAAGGGAGGAGAGGTGCTGACTTCAGGGAAACCCCAGCGGGGTGGGAGCTTCCCTGGATCCCTCACTCTGCATTTCCAACCTCCTGCAGTCCCTCTGGTGCCTGTTCCCAGCAGGATTCTGTGATCCTACACCCCTTCCCTGGCTCTGTGCCATGTCCAAGGTGCACAGCAGGGTGGGAATCCCTCTACAGAACCCCTGTGGTTTGAGAGACACTCGGAGCACATCTGGGAAGAGCCTGGGGATTTATCCCACCTCTGGCTGCTGCAGGTGCAGCCTGAGGAGACACCAAAACAGCCAGGAATTTGGGAATTGTCTCCTTGAATTCCCCAGGGATTTGGGGAATTCCACACAATTATCCCCTGCCTTTCTCCTGCCTCAGAGCTCCCCTTCATTCCAGATGCAGGTTGGTGTTGTCTCCTCCTCCTCCTCCAGTGTCCCTGGACGTGACCCTGAGGTCACTGAGATCCTGCTCCTTGGATTTGGGTGTGCTTCCTTAAAGGAGACATTTGGCACACCCAGATCATTCCCCAAGCCATGGAATCACATCCTACAATCCTGGCAAGGTTTGGGTGGGAAAGGACCTTAAAGATCATGCAGTGCCATGGGCAGGGATTCCTTCCCTTATCCCAGGTTGCTCCAAGCCCTGTCCAGCCTGGGAATGGAAGCAGCTTTTGTTGGAATAACCATGACATTTTAGACTACTTAATGTCTGTTACAGGATTTTCATATTTTAAAACAATATATAAAATTATAGATAAGATGCTTTTACTCTGGGGATTGCCCTAAACTGGACTTGCTTGTGATGGCCACCTCAGGGGTGTTTTCCAGGGAATGTGGAAGCCAGGACATCTCTGCCACAGCCTTGGGCCACTCTGGTGTGAGCTTCCTGCCCCCGTGTGCTGACCCTGAGTTATGCCCCAAATTCCAGAGATTCTCCTTCAGGCTTTGATTTGTTCCCCTGGCAGGTGAATTCCAGAATCATGGAACCATTTAGGTTGGAAAAGACCTTTAAGATCATGAGGTCCAACCATGGTGGCCCTGCCAGGGCCACCACTGAGCATGTCCCCAAGTGCCACCTCCACATGGCTTTAAATCCCTGCAGGGATGGGGACTCCAGCCCTGCCCTGGGCAGCTGTGCAGGGCTGGATGGCCCTTTCCATGAAGGAATTTTCCCTAAAATCCAACCTAAATCTCTCCTGGTGGAAGTAGAGCCCAACCCTGTTCCCACTGGGTGACCACAAAAGCAGAAGGAGCTCTGCTGTGGATTTTTCTGGACACAGAACTTTCCTCTCTGGCTGTGAGAGAAACAACTTAATTACGGCTTTTTGCAGAGTCCTAAGAGGGGATTCAACTGCATGGAATTTCTCATTCCAGGGAGTGGGGCAAGTTGGGATTCAACTGCATGGAATTTCTCCTTCCATGGAGGGGGGCAGGTTGGGATTCAACTGCATGGAATTTCTCCTTCCATGGAGGGGGGCAGGTTGGGATTCAACTGCAAGGAATTTCTCCTTCCATGGAGGGGGGTAGGTTGGGATTTAAGTGCAAGGAATTTCTCCTTCCAGGGAGGGATGATGGTTGGGCAAGTTGGGATCCAACTGCAAGGAATTTCTCTTTCCATGGAGGTGGGCAAGTTGAGATTTAAGTGCATGGAATTTCTCCTTCCATGGAGAGATGATGGTTGGGCAAGTTGGGATTTACCTGCATGGAATTTCTCCTTCCATGGAGGGAGGCAAGTTGGGATTTAACTTTCCATGTTGGAATTTCTCTTTCCATGGAGGGATGATGGTTGGGCACGTTGGTGAACAGGATGGAGTTGCAGTAGTGTGAAATGTTTGGAATTAAGCACAATCATGGAATTTTAATGATCATTCCATGACCCCTGGCTCGCTGGTCCTGCCAGTTATCCCTTTTATGAGGTTTTCATGGAAGGAGTTCTTCTTGGAGGACTGGTATTGTAGGGGAGGTTGGGAATCTTGGGAAAACTCAGTGGAATGATGGAGGTCAGCTCAGGAGCTGGAGGACAGCTCCTTGTCACCAAGGATCTGTTGGATCCATCCCTGAAGATGGAACAAGAGGAGGATGCCTTCAACACAGACATCACCGCCCATCTCCTGAAGTTATTTTTTACCAGCTTGAGGAAGGGAAAAACCACTTTGCACCCCAGGAATACTTTAAAACGGGGGTTGTTGCACTGTTGTTCCTCGTGCCTCACAGGGTTCACTGTTTCCACTACCTGATCCCTCTGGCCAAACAAGGGAATTACGCCATCGTGGCCAACGTGGAGAGCATGGACTACGACCCGCTGGTGGTGCGGCTCAACAAGGACATCAGCGCCATCGAGGAGGCCATGAGCGCCAGCCTGCAGCAGCACAAGTTCCAGTACATCTTTGAAGGTCAGGCTCTTCCCAGTCCTTCCTCCCTAAAGGGTTTTCCATTCTCATCCCAAAGCTCCACGGGATTCCGTTCGGGGGTGAAGCTGAGTGAGGTGCTGCTGTCACCCGCAGGGCATTGAGTGAGAGCCATGTGGGAGAGCTGGGAATGATCACCTGGAGAGGAGAAGGATCCAGGGAGAGCTTCCAGCACATTCCAGGGCCTGCAGGGGCTCCAGGAGAGCTGCAGAGGGACTGGGGACAAGGGATGGACAGGACACAGGGAATGGCTCCCAGTGCCAGAGGGCAGCCATGGATGGGATCTTGGCCATGAGGAATTCCTGGCTGGGCTGGAATTGCCAGAGCAGCTGGGGCTGCCCCTGCATCCCTGCAGTGCCCAAGGCCAGGCTGGACACTGGGGCTGGAGCAGCCTGGGACGGTGGGAGTGTCCCTGCCATGGCAGGGGTGGCACTGGAGGGGCTTTAAGGTCCTTTCCCACCGAAACCATTCTGGAATTCTGTGATTCCCCCTTTGTTCAAGAAGAGGGAAACGACTCCACACAGAGCCACGGGGACCATTCACATCCTGTTGAATTTTAAATTCATACTCATGGTCCTCCTTAATCACACCTCTTAAGCCCAGGTCTGGGATTTACAGATTTCCCACACTGGCTCCCTGTACATGAGCAAAATCCTTAATTTAGACTTTTAATTGGCCTCTGGACTTGCCCAGACCTGTGCAGTGCAAATCAGTCTGGGTTTTTGCTCTTTGTAATGTGACACGAGTGCAAGCATCATTTTGGGGGTGCCTGTGTCCCTTAGCCCCCAGCTGTGCCCTTCTGACATCCTCCAGACACAGGAAACTGTTCAGAGAGGGGTTGTGCCTCAGGGGCATTGGAATGCAGCTCATTCCTGCTCCTGGAGACTGAAATTACCAGGAAAAACAGGGAAACCACACCCATGGAGAACAGATTAAAGTCCTGTGGTTCTACAGGAGCTGCAGTGACCCATTGCTCTGCCCAGACAGGGAGAGGGACTGGAAGGCACATTATGCAAAGCCTGGTTAAAAATCAGATAACACAGCTCTAAGTTCTGGGGCAGTTTTGTGTTTTCACTAAAGAGGTGGAAAGTCCTAAACTGCACCACAAAGATTTCTGAGCGTTTCCAGGTAAAATCCAATTATCCCTTGATCCAGCTCACAGGCACCACTCAACAACGCTCATTTTTGGGGGTTTTACCACGAATTACTGGCACTAAATCCCTTCCCCCCTTGCAGGCTTGGGCCACCTCATCTCCTGCATCCTCATCAACGGCGCCCACTACTTCAGGCGCATCAGCGAGTCCGGCATCAAGAAGATGTGCAGGAACATCTTCATCCTGCAGCAGAACCTCACCAACATCACCATGTCCCGGGAGGCCGACCTGGACTTCGCCAGGTGAGCACAAACCCCAGCCTTTGTCACTCTGCCAGGGCCCACCCGAGCTGAGGTGGCTCCTTCCAATGTGGAAGAGGTTTTTAGGGAGAGCCCTAAAAGGTTCTGTGCCAGGATTGGGACTTTTGGGTTTTTGGTCTTCAGGTTGTTGATTTTTCTCTCATTAAAAGCTCAGCACGTTCAGACTTGGTGTACAAAGAGAAGGGCACCAAAAAAGTCACCAGACACACAGGTTTAAGGTCTTTTAGAGCTGCTTTGTGCAATTAACTCTTAAAATGTATTTTATTTCTACCTTTCTACCAATAACTAATTATTTGTCTGTCCAACATCTGCATTGTGGTTCTTTCTCACCAATCATTCTGTGCCACCAACAGAGCAGAAAATGGAGGAGGTGAAGAACAAGAAGGAGGATCAGACAATGCCCAAACTCCTTCCATCTTGTCTCCTGCCCACCTCCACATAAAACCCCAAAACTCTGAGTTTTTCACCCTGTGATAAACTATACTACTCTCTGTTTCACACACTCATAGATTCCAATTCATCCCAGAGTCTTGGAAGCTTTCTCCATGGATGAAGGTCAAAAGCAGTGTTCTCCTGGGGATTTCTCTGCCAGGACAAGCAGAGGAACATTCCCTGTGCCCTGGGTTCCAACATTCCAAAAGTCTCAGGTGGCCAGATGAGTGGCAAGTTCAACAGCTGGAGGTGTTGGTGGCAATTTTGGCTTTCCTTTGGTTGAACAATGTTCAGAGGGACGTGGAATCATAGAATCAGGGGGCTTGTTAAGGTTAGGGAAGATCTCCAAGGTCACCAAGCCCAAATGTGGATCACTTGAGGCTGATGTGAGGTCCCACCAAAGTGTCTGTGCTTGGTGCTCCCTTGGGGCTTCTCCAAGACCAAAACTCAGGCAGGGAAAAGCTTCCAAAGATAGTGGGCAGAACTTAAACAGGATGAAACTGGGGCTTGCATTTATTCCCAGGTGAGAAATGTTTTGGTTTGTTGAAGGCTCAGGGTCACCAGATCCAGGTTGGCTTGAAGGGACATCTCCCTCGAGTTCTGTTACCCTGAAATAGCAGGAACAGCAAAATAAACCCAAAATAAACCCAAAACTGGGTGTGACAGACGCCCTGCAAAGCTTTCCCACATTCTGGGGTGTCTTCCCTCCAGGAGGATTGAGGGACAAGCAGGTGGAGGCGAGCCCTGAGCAGTGGTTTTGGCAGCTGGACTCAGAGCTGGCTCAGCTGATCCTGTCAGGGTCAGGAGGGGACAGCTGAGCCCAGGAACAGCCAAAAGAAACATCTGGAACTTGGAAATGAAGGAGTGGGGTCCAGTGAGAGAGGTCTGTGTGAAACTTGGATCTGACCCCCCACAAACTCTTGGTGCCATCCCTTGGCCCTGCTGCTGGAGGCTGAATTCCGAGGGAGGTTTGCACTCCCTGGATGAGGAGTGTGCCTGAGAGCCTTTATTTGGGATCTCATCTGGGGGTGGATCCTCTCTGAATTCATTTCTTCAGATCACCATCGGCATGAGGAAGTTGTGGATGCTGAGGCCTGCTGGAGGGGGAGGGAGGAAGATCCATTAGAGATTCTGCAAGGAATAAACTTCCCAAATTTAATCTTTTCCTTCTTAAATGACCGTCCTGTGGTGAAGGAATTTTCCTGATACCCACCCCTAAACTCCTCTGGCACGACTTGAGGCCATTTCCTTGTGTCCTGTCCCTTGTTCTTGGGGGCAGAGCCTGACCCCCACCCTCCCACAGCAGCTTTGTGCTGAATTCTTCCCACCACATCAATTCAGCAACATTTCTTTTATTCCTTTCACAGCTCCATCACTTCCCTCTTTTCTTCTGGGGAGTAATTCCATGCTCTGTTTGATTCTTTCGTTTTTCAGATGACTCCTGAATGTTTAAATGTTTATTACCCAGCTTCTCCTTTGACATAAACAAGGCTCTGGTGCATCCAAGGCACCTGAATTCACAATCACCTCAGCGAGGCTCTCACGTCACCCCAGGGACCCCACGGTGCCCAGCTCTACTCAAACTATTAAATAAACACAACAGCTCCCCTCCAGAAAGCATAAAACAACATCAGGCTGGGATAAAAGTGATTTGTCCCTCTGTGATACGGCTCAGGCAGGAATCTGAATGCTCTGTGCTGTGGATAACTCTCAGTTTGGCCTTTTCCAAGATAAAGTGGGGTTTTTTTTTCATGTACAGGAGCAGTGGCAGAGCTGATGGAGAAATCCTCCCTTCCACCTGCACCCCCTGGGATAAATTCCCTCCCTGCCTCACTGCTCCAGGGAACTGGAGGGTCGTGGGTGGGGCAGGAGACCCCCAGCCCTGCCTGGATATTTCTGTGTCCGTGACACTGAGGGTTTCCAGCAGCAATTAGCCACAATTAACAAGCAGTGCAGCCCCTCTCCATGCCTTAAACCTGAATTCTGGAGCAGGTCCCTTTTCTCAAAGTGAACTTGTTTGAAATCAGTTCAGGAAAGACCAGACCACTTGAGAAAGGACCAAAAGTTTTTTTAAGGTTTTTCTGAGCATTGTGCTTTTGATTTTATTTTTTTTTTTAATTTTTCACTTCTGCTATGGTCTTCAAGGCTTTTTAGAGGCCTCAGAGAACACTGGGCATCCTTTTCTTCTCTGCTCAGTGAGTTCAGGCAGTAGAAATCCCAACCAGGGAAGTTGGAAGGGGAAACCCTTTTTCCTCTGAAGCCAAAATCAGGTGGAGGATTCACAGCAAGCCCAGGTAACACTTGTTGGTCCTGGTGAGGCTCTTGCTGTTTAAACCCCATTTTTCCAAAGCTCTGTAACCTGCAGGTGACAACAGCAGCATTTGCTGCTTTGGGAGCAGTCCCATGGCAAGGGGAAAATGTGTTTTAAATGAGTTTTGCTTTTCAAGGCAGGGGAAGTCTCAGCAGAGCATCACAGAGCACATTTCCACTGGAAAAAAAATTTAAATTGCCAAGCGGTGTGAGGAGTTTTTTTCCACCAGGAGAAAGGGTGAAACAGGCTGGTTCTGACTGCTGAGGTGTCACAAAGGATTTGTGGCATTTGCTAAATTTCCTGCAAATATTAATAGGTTTTTCACTCCTGTGTGTGTTCAATATCTAGGCCAGCAGAAATGCAGGAGGTTGTTGGGGCTTCCACTGCTTTATTGAGGAAAAAGCAGGATTTTCTCCCTGTGGAATATCCAGGCATGTGCTGCAAAGTCTGGGACTGAGCATGACTTCCAAATACCTCCAGATTACCAAAGTTTCACACCCAGAATTAGATTTCTGGCATGAAAGGGACAAAAGCTTCAAATTTCAATTCCTACTCAGGTCCTTTCCCTTGTTCTTCTTTCCTCCTCTCCCTCTATCCCCACCCAGAATTCTCTGGGATTTTATGAAGATTTCATCAGAGGTAGCCACAAAGGGCGAGGATTCTGCTTCAGACTCACCTTTAAATAAAAAATCACTGAAAAAAGTGGTTTTCTGAATCATACAAGTGTTAAAGCTGAGTGTTCTGGAGAGTGAACTGAGGTGGCTGCAAAGGGCACAGAGAGAGCAGGGATGAAATGGGAACATTTTCTCTAACAAGTGTCACTGTGACCTCAGAAATGAAGGTTTCTGAGCAGTGCTGTCATTGTCCCTGGTCTCAGTGTCCTCCCTGCCTCGGGGGGTGACAGCAGAGGGATCCAGAGGTGTCCCCACACCTGGAGTGAGCTGGAGCTCTCCCTGTGCTGCCATTCCAGTTGTTCCTGTGGCCACCCCTCCTGCAGGCACCAGGAATCTTTTCCTGCTGCTGATGACAATGCCAGGGGTATTGGCAGGGACATTTCAGGGACATTGCTGGGACATTTCTGGGGTATTGGCTGGGACATTTCTGGAGTACTGGCTGTGATAATTCTGGGGAATTGGCTGTGACAATTCTGGAGTATTGGCTGTGACATTTCGAGGGGTATTGCTGGGACATTTCTGGAGTACTGGCTGTGATAATTCTGGGGAATTGGCTGTGACAATTCTGGAGTATTGGCTGTGACATTTCGAGGGGTATTGCTGGGACATTTTCAGGGGTAGTGGCTGTGACAATTCTGGGGTATTGGCTGTGACAATTCTGGGCTGTTGGCTGGGACATTTCCAGGGGTATTGCTGTGACAATTCTGGGGTATTGGCTGTGACATTTCTGGAGTATTGGCTGTGACAATTCTGGGGTATTGGCTGTGACATTTCCAGGGGTATTGGCTGGGACATGTCCCTGTAGCAGCTGTGGCACCTCATTGGCACTGCTGGTGGCTCCCCAGCGAGATGGGGTGGGGAGCAGCCATCAGAGCTCCACTTCTTCCTGGTTTGGCCATCAAGAAACCCAAATCATGGACTCACAGGATCATGGAAGTTGGAAAAGATTTCCCAGCCCATGGAGTCCAAGCTGTGCCTGACCCCCACCTTGTCCCCAGCCCAGAGCTCTGAGTGCCACCTCCAGGTGTTCCTTGGACACCTCCAGGTGTGGGGACTCCAAACCTCCCTGGGCAGCCCCTGCCAATGTTTAACAACCCTTATGGAGAAGGAATTTTCCCTAAAATCCACCCTGAGCCCAGGCTGAGGCCGTTCCCTCTCCTCCTGTCCCTGTTCCCTGGAGCACAGCCCGACCCCCCCGGCTGTCCCCTCCTGGCAGGGACTTGTGCAGAGCCACAAGGGCCCCCTGAGCCTCCTTTGCTCCAGGCTCAGCCCCTTCCCAGCTCCCTCAGCCTCTCCAGACCCTTCCCAGCTCCATTCCCTGGACACATTCCTGCCCCTCGATGTGGCCGGGGAATGCTCCTGTCCCTCAAAACCCATCTTTATTCCAAGGCCAGTTTGGACAGGGCTTGGAACCCCCTGGGATGGTGGCAGCTGTCCCTGTCTGTGGCACGGGGTGGCTCTGGATGATCCTTTAAGTCCCTTCTCACCCAAAGCATTCCACGATGCTGTGAAAGGGGAGGATGGGAAGGTTTAGGATGGAGGATGCAGCTGCAGCTTGAGCTTTT